CACGTTCAACTAGATTAGGCTTATAGTCATCGACAGAGATTACCTACATTGGTTACCTACATGTTCTAATCCTAGATTTGTGAAGCGATTAATCCTTTCTATTTTACACACATTCCTATTATTCGTTTAGACTTTTTATATAGTTCACATCTATTACCTAAAGCAACCGAAGTGCTGCAGTTCATCTGTGCGAACGTTATTTATAACAGAGTGATCTCTGTCCATAAACCACGTAACACAAGTTTTAGAGGCCTTTTATGATCATCAGAATACTTAACAAAATGAATGAATTTAATTATAAGTCTCTAGGACTCCATTTCTGCTGAGGAAACCTGGATCAGATATCTCAGTCACTTAAGTTAAACCACTTGACTTTAAACCTACATAAAATATTCTGGTTTTTCAAAATTTAACTAGTCAAATCAGAAGCCTGTAGGTACTTTAGTCTCAAATTTCCGAAATTTGAATTACATTTTGACATAAATGTTCAGTTGTGTGTAAAAATGAACACACTCTTGCTGCTTACTAGCATCTTTGGAGTCCTTTCTCTCAGTGTCCATTTTAGCAACGTTTAGAAGCCAAGTAAACTGGAATATATTACAATGTATGTGTTGCTGATGATATACTGACCTCCGACAACAAGAATTTATAATACAAATGACATTTTTGACTGGGGATCACTAACTAAAACAATCAACACAGAATTGTTTCCAACAGTTTGATCTCTCACAGTTTATTCAGATTCATTTACGGGCTACAACAATTCTTCGACAGTCAACACAAGTCACAAAAGCTATAGGTTCACTTTCTATAAGCAAATAATGTAACACTTCAGTTTTAATTGTACCAGATTTTATGCTCATTATATTTTTGACTATTCTCCAACAAATGGTCAGGATCTGACTGGTTTTTGAGTACAAAACATTTTTTCAGATTTTCGGACGCTACCATGAAATTGATATAATACGGATTAAGGAATGTTCATGTTTCAGTGTCATAAGTGTTGGAGACTATTATGAGCTTCCTTAATAAGACCTACCCGAGTTTGATGATCGCAGCGCAGTAGGATATAGAAAATGGATATGTAGGATTATGGTCTACTAATAATAGAACTTATCCTAAAATTGTAGACTTGTCGTGATATAACTGCCAAATCCATAAGAATTTACGTAGACGTCATACCATCTTCTACACCAACTCATCGTATCGTAACAATCACCAATACATGATGTAGAACAAGCTTAGGCTAGAGATAGAACAACATATTTAATATGAATAAAAGATATAAAATAACATTCAACAAGGACCACGTCTGCAAGGACAAGCCATGCCATTCGATCAACCTCAATTAATTCAATTCCTTGTTCCCGCCTTCTCTATCGTTACGTATTTCTCCGCGTTAAATATTGAATATCTATTTTCCGAGTAGTCTCGTGTTCAGCTTCGAGGATCGTGTGGTTATGGTCCAATGCCATTACAAATATATAATAATATAATATACAGTAAACACTATCTAAAAGAGTGCATAAAGAGAATTAACCACTGAAGTAATTGTGCGCATGATTCTCAAAAGAGCCTGTTGTACACGAACAAACCTAAACTTAACAACTTAAAAAGTCAAAGAAAGGTCCGTTTATATAACAGAACTGCTATACTCTAGAAGCTAATGTCTATATCCATCAAAGCATGATTGCATTCATGAGATAAGCACACATAAATGTGATACATACGTTTTTATAATCACATTTTTTTAACCGACTCCAATTAAATTAAATTAAAAGTGTGTAGATTTTGAAAGATTTAAGCGATCGGAAAACAACAAGATTAGCCGAGAAATAATATACTCTTATATTCTTCAAATAGATCACAGTAGTTAAATTTCCATGAACCATGATTCTCATGGTACTGGAAGTACGGTTCCATGAAGCACTTTTGGAGATAAATACGACGCAATCGTACATAGTAAATAAACTTTAGTGGACGTCTGGATTATTTGTTCATTTTATTTATCCGTTCAGTGTCAAGGGCAATCCACAAGATAATAACCGTGTAATCGAAATAGCCAGTAGATACTTTGATTTGCTTTGCGCGATGATGAATATCCCACAACATTTGCAAATACCAGGTCTTGCATCCTTCATGATATCCAGAAAATTCTTCACCGGATAATGTGGGTGAATATCATTGAAAAAATAATTCAACATCAGCAACATAAGAAACATTAGGACTAAATCCCCAACAGTGATTATCTGATGAAATATGAGTCATTTGCCTGCTCTCAATTCGACGTAGGTAATTCGTTACTAAAGAGTGAAGTGGTATTAAAGTTCCATCCGTAGATCGAATTCTTGATCTTGTTTTACGACTCGACAGAAGATTAAGTGCTATGGAAAGTATCCTGATTTGGTACGCATTTACTCAACATACAATGCATAAAGGCCTTATAAACACCTCTGTAAAAATTCTTTACTTTTGCTAGCAAGTATTAAAAATTACGGGTTTGTTCGTCCCATACATTTTGGTAGGATGACAAAAAGGTTATAGATGATATAAAGTGGATCATAAATGATTGTCGACATTATGTAAAGTAAATCCCATACTCAGTATTTAATTAGCGATAACACATAAGGAGAATTATCAGCCATTGCCATAACAGTTAGAAATACCAACAAGATGTTGTAGCCTTATCGTAAATCTAAGAAAATAAAACCGAATACTCACTCTGTTTTTATTTGTCTCGACATTCGTCGGTAAAGTCGAGAGCGGCAAACGAACGAAAAAAGATGTGACGGACTCAACCAAATGGCAAATATATACTTTAAAGACTGTAAACCGATTCGTCATCGAGGTCATGAACAGTGTGAGTGACTATTTGATAAGAATTCTTAGTAGATGTGTAGGAACACGACTATCCTGCAATACCTCTTAGTGTGTTTACTCTGTGTTTCAAGGCTCACCAGAAAATTACCCGACAAAATGACCATATAGAATAATACCCAAAGTGTCATACGTTGAGGTGAAAGATAGTCACATCTCCTGGTACGAATTTTTTTTACAAGTATGTTCTATTAAGAGTTCATCCTGAATTTAATAGTTGGATAGAACTCTGATCATATGGTTAAAACAAGCTCGCGTATTGCTTAATAATAGAAGCGAATAATTTCCTAGCCAACCACGTAATATTTATTAATTGTTTATTACCTTTAAATCAATTGGAGTGCAGACAACGCATGTAACTATTCTAGGGTTACTGCCAGTCCCAAGCCCACAAAAAGAGGGAATGTTGGGTGTGGGGTCGGTAACCCCATCCTTTAGAAAAAAATCTTGCCATAAAAACCCCAACCAGAATAAACAAATTAAACCGTCAAAAGTCGTCCTCTATTCAGTTTACCTTCAGGATTCAAATTCAGCACTTGCCTTGTGATCTTTCCATAACTTCCTTTTCAGCTGAAAGCTGGTTTCTTTATCTCCCAAAATGGGCTGCAGCTCTTCTAGAATTATTGCCCGTTCCAACTACGGGTAAACGATAAGCGTTAGACATAGGGTCGACAGCCTCTTACCTTAGGAACTAACCCTGCTAAAAAAACACTAGCCAGATTAAACTATTTAAACCGCTGAAACACGTTCCTTCACGTTGAAGGAAGAATTATGACGCCTCAGGATGGAGGCCCACATTCTTTGGATGTCAAGAAGTCGATGCTCCATCCAACAACCAGAGCAACAATTTTTTATAGGTACATGGAGCTCTCAGAAAATGCGGTAGACCGGAAGGACTAGTCAAATAGCTTGGACCCAGAACCACCAAAGCATTAGTGAAAACGATGAAAGAGGGAGCTACAATCAGTGTTATTCAATGTCTTGCACTCACCAATGATAGTCACGAAGACGATAAACATACGCTTAATATAAGGATGAAGTCAATCATAGAGAAGTGGTCGGGAAAAAAACTGAAAAACTCGACGAATTTAAGACAACTCTGAACAAGAGGTTCCAAGCCTTACAGAATCTACTGAAAAAAAGAAGAAATTACCATGAAGGACAACTGGAAAGGAATCAAAGAAGCCGCGAATTCAACGCGTCAGGATGCAATGTGCTACAATAAGGATCAACATAAGGAATGGATCTCTATAAAGACCCTAGACAAGGTGACCACTCACCTGCAGAGGCATCACACTACTGTCAGTACCAGGAAAGGTTTTTAGTAGAGTTTTGCTGAACCAAGTGTAAGTTTCAGTAGACGTCCACCTTATAGATCAGCAGATCGGACTCTGTAACAATTGGTTGTGCACAGACCAAATCGCGAAACTACGGATAGTCATTGAACAACCGATTGGATGAAACTCGTCACTACACATCAGCTTCCTTGATTATGAGAAAGCATTTGACAGCGTGAATAGAATGACCTTATGGAATGTTCTTCGACATTATGATATCCCCAAGAAGATTGTTGACATCATCCGGAATTCATACTATGGACTACACTTCAAAGTGGTGCATGGAGTACAGCCGACGAGTGCATCCTAAACAAGGACCAGATTCAGACAAGGTTGCTCACTCTCTTCCTTCTTTTGTGGTGGTTGACTGGATTATGAAGGCTTCCACATCTCGGGATAAGCATGGAAAAAAATGGACATGTTGGGTGCAACCAGACGATGTGTAGTTCGAAGATTACTTAGACTTTGTATCTCATGCGCAGCAGAAACTCGAGGTCAAGACAGTCAGTTCAACAGCAGCCTCTGCATCAATATATTACTATATAAAAAAACCACGGCGACGCGGATGGTGAAATAACTAACGTGTTCGAAAATATATCATCAATCTTAAAAAAACTATGAGTCTTATATGTCTATCAAAATAATCACTATCAGAGTGAAGGCAAGCATGTTATGAACGAACAACTCAATGTTGTTTCCTGAATTTTGTTTTTGTTGATCCATTCACATGACCTTGAGATAAATAGTAAGCTTTCAAATAAATTATGCGTTGTCGTATGGTTCATACCAATTTCTCACTAAAGTGCAATTTCTAACGTTCAACATAATAAAATACTAGTTTTCAACTGTACTCATCACGCAAAGTTAACAGGAGTTTTTCCTGAAGGAGCTACTAATGTGAGTGACTTGTTTCATAAATTAACAATATTATTTCATTCCTGAAGTCACATGGTAGCGTACTGGAGAGATTACAATCTATGGACGAACAAGTCAGATATATGTTAACATGTCATGAAATTTGGCGCAAAATTCATTCATACATTTGCCTAAGTAGAGTTTTGGCACTATAGCTGATATAAGTGCGTAATGTAAAACTTTAATCTAGTTTTTAACCATAACCATTAACTGTAAATGAAGGTTCTAACTGCTTTATAACCCTCATTTAGTCCCACTTAGAAGGTGTTCACTCTCAGGGCCACCTGAAAGGAATGTAGATCGAGCCAAACGTTTATTCCTATTCTTTATGACATATGAAAACACTATTTCGAACTTGAATTCACTTACAGCGAAAATTTTCTTACATTTCACATCAGTGTCGGTTAAAGTGTGAATCAATTAGTCAACTACCGATCGACACTTGTGATGCATTTTTATATACACTCATCATATAATCGCAATTCGAGAAATACATGTTAGTGAATTTCGAGTTTACTATACTGCATAGGATATCCGGTTCTAAACATTTTGTTTAGAATTGCAAACGATATTGTTTGTTACCCATGAAAAAAATAAATGCTCTACATCCTGAAAAGTTCACAAAATGAAAGGTTTGCATTCCGGAAAATTTTCTGAGTTAAAAAAACGAATATATTCGAGCAAGACCGCGATTACATCGGGATTTTTACGGTATTGTTTTTAATCTTATTTTTGTTTTTTCTTACATGATAATTTAAAAATGTGGGATATCAGTGGACGACTTTGTGTAGCAGTGTTAGGTTTATTTTACCACTTTAGAATGAGTATATTTATTCATATTTACTTGGTAAGTGTTAAATCTTGGTCTCGTGTATAAGTTACTCAATTAAATAATGTTTATGACCTAAGTAGTCTGACTACATATTAGTTTATAGAAATCCTGATAATCATTTATTGAAGTCATAATCTAAGACATAAAGTTTGATTGAAATATATTCCAAAATCAACGATTATTAGAAAATTGTAAAGCACGTTCTTTAGGGACTGGATACGTTGGTCCAAATTTTTGGAATACACGTCGTACTTTTGCTAATGATAGATTTTCGTCGTTACATATTGTTGGGTCTCAAAAAGTGTATTTTTCGGCTTTAGATGCCAGATAAAATTTATGTTTCATACGTTTAAGAGGAAACAGCACTGATGATGACGACATAAGCCGTAAGCTATACGAAGACTCGTATGACTACACTTCTTATACACACATCACACAAGAAATCATAAAATAATTGGACGTCAAGGGGTTTTAATAAGACTGTTCTTTAGATTTGATTTTCTGCTTGTGATTTTGTTCTATGTTCGTTTTCTTCAACATAATTCTTGCGTTTCCCCGTAGAAATCAGCTTTCATGTTGTAGTAAATTCTTCATACGACTCACGAACGATTTTGCCTTTACATACTCACAGTAGTATTCCCTTCTTGTGATCCCATTTCTGATCACAAGTTATCAAACCAGTTTATTTTAGTCCAACTGTGTATAACCGTTAGACAAAGGTTTAAATTCATTAAGAGAAAATAATTGTACAGCACTTGAGCTTGGTGTTTATGCAGTTTTGTTTTCCTAGCAATGGTTTTTAATTTGGCCCTCATCAGTCTGAAAAATCTAAACAGCCATTTCTGGTTAAAAATTGTTCAAAAGACATCAATTGATAAATATCTGTTTACAGGTGGATTAATATTTTTCAGAATCCTGGTGATTTATTCTTAAATGGAAATCTTCAGACTTGGAGAGGTTGGACCTCCTAAAGACGATGATTTTCATCGCTTTAAGATCTTCGTTAAAGACGAAATAAACTGGAAACGCCGACATAAAAAGAAGAATGTAGAAGTTTTTACACGCTCAACCCCACATACCAATATGAAAATGATCAAAGTTGTAGCCATATTTCCAGACGTATCGTCGCATGTGATATATGACATGTTGCATGACAACGACTATCGATCATTATGGGACAATACTATGAAGGAGTCGACTGAAATTTGCCGTATTACATGGAACTGTTCTATCGAACATTTCGGATGTAGGTTCCAATATATTTTAACGTTTGTAGTCAGGGCACCATTTGCGTTTGCTAATCGCGACTTTGTTATGTTGCGCGCGTGGCAACCATATGAAAATGAATACATTATATTTAATCGATCAGTATTCCACAAGGTAAGATTGTTTAACTTCAATTTCAACGAGTAGAAAGTGCCTCCACGATCAGATTATGTGCGGGCCCTGACATTCATTACTGGTTATGTTATTACTGCCCTTAGTCCTGTATCATGCCAATTAATGTATTTAACGCAGAACGACCCGAGAGGTAAACAACGTTTTTGATTTCGACTGAAACTTGTAAATTAAATCAAACTGACCGTACTCTAGTTTGTTTAGCGTTACTCGTATTTAGTAACTTTTTGGCTATATTCATCGTTTTTTCATAACCAATTGGAGGTAAAATTTATGAAAAGTCTTAAGGGCAACGAATATTGTTCAAATATTATTCTTAAAAATCCCAAATTTCGTTTAACGAGAAGTAAAATGTCTTCAATGTGAATTTACTTTAAAATATAGTTCAAAAAATGGACTTAATGAAATATTGACTTTCTTTTCTATGAAGTTAAACAAGCTGTGAACCGTAGTATTTATAGAACACACCGCAATACGCTGTTTTCTCGTCGACTACATGCAAAATAGCTGAGTTTGATCTTGCTCCTTGAATATTCTGATTTTTATTTCGTATCGAAATACTTGTATTATTCGTAAATAACCCATCAAAATTGAGAATCGGGAGAAACAACGACAAATAGTTTCCCAGAGCTTCCAGTGTTGTGAAATCTATTTTTCTCTTAAAAACAAAAGATACTCATATTAAAAACTTACTTGCATGTAATTTATCACTTGTTTAGTCACTCAGGCGAGATTTAGTTCCTTTGAGTATTTTTTTTGCTGATAAATTGGAAGAGACTAAGACATACTGTAAAATTCAGTCAACCGTTGGCAAACTTTAATAAACTTCTGTTTCATTTTCTATAGTGAATTTATAGTGTCATTTCGTTGTTTTTTATTTGATTGCGGGGTTCCAGAGCCTTTAGTCATATACTTTTAATTAAAACTCACGAAATCCTTTGAAAGAATTGAGGAAATATGGTGGCATATATTTCAAAGTCAGTGTGAAATTTTGACATTGTTCAAGTTATGGTTAACTTCACATGAAGTTATTCCTGTGTGTTGGTATATTTTCAATGTCTACACCAAAGACTATGTTCAGCTTAAGACGAAAGTATGCCAATACAGATCGATAAATTGCAGTTATTGATATCACCTTTGAGCAAATTACTAACACTTACAAACAGACGTAGTTAGTTGAAAAAAACCAAGTAGATGTAACTATGGTTAGATTAGGCTCTATAAAAATCATGTCTTATGTCATGACTAGCTTAGTAGATAATGAGAGATTTCACAGTGTAAATACTAGTGCAAGAAAATCGATTCAGGTTTCCGAACTCTTCAATCATACAGAATAAGTAGTACAGAAATTTGTTGGAATGGATTATGGAAATGACTGATGCATGGATCAGCAAACACCAGCTTCTAAGATTTACAAATATTTGATATTTATTAAGACGTTAATTATCACAAAAATCAGATCACGGTCATTTTATATAATACGGATAAGCATACAGCGGACAGTGAATTGTCGGCCTTAAAGTGGATAATAATAAGTTTTGCCTTCAAAGTGCCTAGCTTCCGTTACAAAAAAGAATATGATGACACTGTAGCGTAATTACACACGTTGTTTTCCACATAATTACAACTAACTCTTCACATCAATATAAAAGTACAATAAGTAAAAAGGGGCACCAGTATTGGTCAGAAAAAAACAAAATTTTTAATCACTATTCAGAAAGATTAAAATGATGGGTTGGATATTTGATAAAGCTTTCAATGTATTGTCTGATAATCGTAATTAATTTTCTGGTATCTACTTTATCTTATAAAAAGTAAGTAATACTATGAGGATAAAATGTAAAAAACATTCTACAAACTGAAACGCAAAAAAATAATTTCTATAAGTGGCCAGATAAGGTTGAATTAAAGGTGTTGTCTTTTTCTTTGTTCTTACAAATGGTAACATATTCCGGTTTTTTAAATAAAGTTTTAATGTAAAGCAGAATAGCTTGAAAATATACTCCAATTTTTCAGAAACCTGAATTTAAAACCCAAAAACAGAAATATAAGTGTTCATCATACATATATTCACTGCTTTAAATTTTGGCTTTATTGTTTCGTCCGGTTTAACCTATAGGTGATATTCCATCATGGGCAATAAACCTAGCAACCACAAAGGTGGCTCCACGTCTTGTAAAGTCACTTCACCGAGCTGCTCTATGCTACCCAGGTTGGAAAGCTCAAAACCGACCAGAATTTAAACCATGGCGAAATCCTGAACAACAAGACAAATCAGTACCTGCACTGTGTTATAGTGATATTTTGAGGGAACCCGACTTTTCTCTAAAGAAGGTTCATGAAAAACATGTGAGCAAAGAAAAAGCCCTGAAGGAAGTTGGTTTACCGCTTGACACAAGGTTGGATGAAGATAGCTCCTAGTTATTTAATTTTAATTATGTTCTACTTGTTTATTTTCAAACCATGTTATATAACCTTTCATATGTATTGGTTAGATCAGGTTTATTGATTAATCAATTGATTATCTTAAATGATTTACTGTCTATTATCCTTGTATTGGTGTTCCGTTATGATATTCCCAGATTCCATGTAGTTCAATATTCTAAGAGGACAACATATATTTAAAGTTTAAATTTTTAAGAAAATGAACAATAGATGAACTAAATGTTTTGACTTTGTTTTACGTACTATTTCTGGGAACTTCTTGTATAACTTGAGTTAAGCTATTTTGTATCATTAAACACATGTGAAGATAAGAAGCCACATGATTACATTAACATTGTAAGCAAAATGAGACGATCTCACAAATAAACAAGATCAGCGCTGTATGTATGCAATTATTAAGATTTTAAAGTATTTAGTCTCTAATTACAAGTAGTATCGTCGATTGATGCAGGCGTATGAAATTAAAACAAGACTTATTCGAGGTGAAGCGTGTCCCATTAGAGGGATTTGTCAGCGAGATAAACCTGCACTAAGTGATTATTCAAATTTGTCTGTTTACAGATAATATCTATTAAGAAATCTAATCACATTATTTGATTCTGATTCACTTAAGTTATAAAAACTATGAACGACTAATTTAATTTCCAATCTTCAAGTATATTATGCCATCTAGTTTGTAATATTCATCAGCTGATATCATGTTCCAACGAAAATCTTTCGTCACGTTCATTACATTGACTAATCTGGTAGAGATGAAATTAAAATCGAACTGCCACTCTGATGGCTGTAGTGATTAGTAAAAGCTTATTTAGTATTGAATATGAACTTGACTTAAGAGTAAAATTAAAATTTAAATAGACGTTGATTTTTCCTGAACGTATTAAAGTATGTGGTTATTGATAAATACGATTCATAGTCATAAAGAATAGTTAGAAGTAATTTTGGTGGCTTTCCTACTTCATTAGCAAGCTAGTAGGGTGAGAATTTTTATTTGAAACAAAATTTAGTCTATATGGCTTTAGTATGTGTTACAGGTTAAGAGTTATTATATTTGAAGTAATGAGGTGTGCACTTTCATTTCATGATCAGATTGTATATTTTTTAAGGATCATATTTTCTTTACTACAATAATGTAATCCGTCGGCCGTTTTGAATACCTTGCATCTAATTTCCTTCGACTGTCACAATTCTAACGTTTAGATTATTCCGTTAGACTGAAACTTCAGAATCTTAAAAACATTTATTAACTGATCAATAGTAGATTCAGTGAATGATTATGAACATTTCTTCTGATGACCTAAAATAAACAATTTAAAGTTAGTATGGATAGTGGTATTTTCTCCAATTATCATAAGTTGAGTTGAGCTTTAAATATTGCGATAATTTTTAGACTTTACGATATCGAAAAATCTTTTAAACCTTTTTACGTGGTAGAAAGTGTCAATTTTGAATTGCGGTAATAAACACGTTTACACATTTATTTGGTGTGATTTTGCACAAAAACGAACTTAATAAGGAAAAGTAAAGAGGTAATCGCATCTGCTGTTACAGTAAAATAATGAATTAGAAGTATGATTATTTGACAGGAGAATACTATCTATTAATAAAACATCGGTATTTGATAAAAGTTAACCTATCTTTATCAAATACTATTACTTTTGTTTGGAAAAAATGGTAAAAAACAGTTGAGTTTAGTCTGAGTGCATTATAATTAAACATTTTATCAGAAGTTATTCAACATTTACTCATCGTAAAAAACAAGCTAACAAAACATCGAATTTAGTTAGAAGTTTTCCGTGTCGTCTACAAGCAAGGAGTCATTAGTATTGTTGATTAATTATATTTGTGTATTTTTTATGTATCCTACGGAACATCCAATTGTTCTCTGTAAAAATACAATAATTGCAAAATATTTGTATGTTAGGCTGAAGAAATAAGATACAATTATATATATATATATATATATATATATATATATATATATATATATATATATATATAACGCTCAAATATTTGGTAAAACGGAGATTATTAAGATCATCGGCCAACATCTTACGTCATCTCCTTGGTATATATTGACGATGACAAAAGTTTCATTTGAATGCTCTGTTACGTTTCCGGTAGATTGTCGATAAAATCGCATTCTGTATAACTAATTTATTTTTTGTAATCTGTTATATGAAAAAAAGAATATATGATATACTGTTGGATCCATAAAGTATTGCTAATAATTTCTGAGATAATAAATTAAATATCTTCAGGTTAAATTTAACTTAGGAATTAAAATATCCCTAATTCAAGGTAATAATTTTAGCAAATACTTCTTTACTAAAATCAAATGTACTTGCAAGTGATATATATATATGTATATATATATATACGAGAAAGATAAGATTAAGCTTAATAAATAATAATTATTGGTAATTTTTATGAATAATCAGTTTTGGCTTTTTTATGGCTTATTTTTTGAACATTCTATCTTACAAATTCTATGCCAACTAATGAGAGAATAAGTTCACATGGTACTGAGTATGATAAAAGTTTATTTAGATAAAATAATTCACTTTATATATGTAAATAATATTGAATATATAAAAAAATGAAAAGTTATATTCTCATGGAGCTCCTTTATTCCGGAACCCTATAATTATATTATATTTTTAGAATTTTTAATCATATCAATATAGTTCATTATGAAGAAAGTTTTCACAGTTGATTTTTGAGATAAAATAGTAGAAACTTCTTCCTTTATTTTGGGCAGTAAATAAACTTTTCTAGATACGTGAAATTTGACTTAAATCTTCCAAACATTTTTTGCATTAAAGTCATCATTATTTTTTAGTGTATTTTTATTTGTAGTAAATTAATAGGAAATGACTAACTATTTTAATGTCCTTAAAATGAGATAGAAACGTACTATTTAGTATTTTAATTCTTATATTGACATATGAGAAAGTATTAATTTATTGGATTGATTTAAAAGAGTTAGATCTAATTCATAAGGTTTACTATACTGAAATAAACACATTGGATTAAGTATTTACCAAATTTAATATGATTTGATTTCATGTTTTTAAGAAATTTTCCAAAAAATAATATTTCTGTTCTTATTTATTATATATATATTTGTTAGAAATAGCTACAATTGAAAGCTATAAAACGGTATAACTATAAAGAAACTTGTAATTGATCATGTTTTCAGGAATATACAATTAACTAAATCAACCTATTAAGAAAACAATATACCAATAAAAATGAGACCAATCAAACATTTAAATAACTTTATTTAGGAAGAAACGATTACTAACCAAATTATTGAAAGTAATTAAAACGACAAGACATTACTTAGTGTTTAGCGTAAACTAGAGTGATGCTTTTAACAGATCTAGACTTAACGAATATTGTCAGTTTAAGGGTTGTGGAGATTGTTAAGTTTTTGATTGAGATCATGAACCGATTGATGATAGACCACCATTGAAAACCTGGAAGCACTGGACGGCCGTTTCGTCCTATTGTGAAACTCCTCAGAAGTGCGCATCCTTGATCCCGCTCACGGAATTCGAAACCAGGGCCGCGAACGCTTAACCTACTGCAAACAAAACTTGGCTCAGTGGTCTCACAATAGGACGAAACGGCCTTCAAGTGCTTCCAGGTTTTTATGGTGGTCTAACATCAATCGGTCCGTGATCTCAATCAAAAACTTAACGAATATTATCATAAATACGTACATATATATATTTCTATTATCAAATAAAACAAAGAATACATATACTATTGCACAAGAGGAAACTTTCAATTTTCAAAATATAGATCAGTGTATTGTAATATATTCAAACAAGTAGAGCAAACAAAAGTACAATTTTAAGTCAACTAGAAATGTGCATGACAAACGTCATTCATTAATTACCATATGGACAAACTAGAAAATTTATGAAGATAAACTATAGTCCTCAAACATTAGACCATACAGATGGCCATTATATTTTATTATAATCTTTATTACAGAATATTCTGGTAACATATAAGAACCATTCACTGAATATTTCATTTTCAAATTTCCATCATTTGTCTCTCACATCCTGAATGACTCTTCAAGTTCACTATTCCTTTCTATCTTCCCTCCTATTCTCTTCAACTCGATCTTCTTATTCTTCTGCTGCCAGTTTTTCCACTTCCAATTGTTGTTACACACCACTTATGTTGGCAGACACAAGTAGCATACACCACAAACTTAGTATGATTTTCGAACTATTATGCTAAAAATACATTTGTAAATTAAACTACCATATTTTTAAATCAACGATATATTCTTTTTAAAACTTCATTAATGCTTATACATCAGTCTGTAACATGTGTTCTGCGTTTAAACAAGTTATCCTGACTTAGGATAACATTTGTTCATCAATAAACGCCAAATTTATTGGCGTGTATTATTTGAATCATGTATTATCTATGAAGTTAAAAAGCAACTACGTATACATTTCTTTTCATGATATTGTAAACGTGCCACCATGTTCACAAAAGAGGATAACAAAAATTAAATAAGTAATTTCTTGCATAGTGGTTGGTTAAAGATTTATACGGTTGGTAGTTAATCTGTTTTACTTTGATAGCTTCATTATTTCAATGTTTTAGTTTTCTGTTTGGTAAAATAAAAAGATTTTACGCTAATATTCTATTAGTAATTCTTTACAATATTCATAAAATTTTCTCACTTATATTCTAAGCCCATCATACTATTGTTAGTAATTGAATAACTATGAATAGAGTAGTTTATCAATTATAAAAAGAATAACAGAAAGAATATCACAATTATTCCCATTATATGAAATATTATCATTATAATATTAGTTTGAGTCGTTTACGATAAATACTTTTTTTATATGATCATATAATATGTGTGTATATAATATTTCGCTTGTTAAGTAGAAAAGTGCATTAGAAAAAAAATACAAACTCAAGAATAACCACGTGAATTTTGAAATAAGTTTCTTCTTTTGAAAAAAAACGTATTTTCAATGAGAACTTAAATTTGGAAGAACAGATTTATGGATAGATAGATATGCATAAACTCTTATAACTTAATAAAATTGAAGAAGAAAATGTCATATGCAGAAAATCGAAGATTTTTTAAAATTTAATTTATTTACATTAAAAATTTATATTTTTTAATTGGTAACATAAAATAAATTTGATGGGTT